AAGGTGTTCTAAGAGTATTATGAGCACGTGTTTTTTGTGTATTAGTCCTCTTTTTTCCTTTTTTTTTTCTTCTCTCTCTTCTTAATAAAATAATATTAAGAACACAAATCAGTGTTTCAGCGTTATCAATGCTCTTAGGAGTCCGTCGATATTATTATAATTATACAACAATATGGATTTCAAACACGTTTTGCCTTTATTAGAGTAAAAAAGATTTCATTGGTAAGAATTGGCACAAGAAAACCTTGTAAGAACTATATAGAGGTCACACCGTGTATTATTTAATATGTTAAGGTTTTTATATAATTAGTCAAAATTTATATGGTTATTTTGATATAAACATAATGATATAGGGCATAAATGTTATGAAAAATTACTATACAGATAACAAATACATTTAATAAATTCTTAATTTTGAAGAGGAGTCAAATTAAAAATTATTTCTATATAAACAGCGGTTATAATTTTGAAGCTAATTTTTCTGCATCCTCATCACCAAAGACCTAAATCTATTCAGAACTTGTTTTGAAAAAGCTAATCTTAAATTCAGATCCTCAGCTATGACTTCATCAGGTACGCTTCCGCATTCGTTAGTTATTATATGAACTAGTATAACAAGTTTTATGGAATCATAATTATATAAGAAATTGGTATTAGAGAATTATGTTTAGTTTCTTTTTGATAATCATGTTATTATTGAATTAATTATTGGATTACGTAATTTGGTGAAAAATTTAGACTACAGAATCTGATTTTTTTTTAGAATCTGATTTTTTCTTAAAAATTCATGTTTAGATTAAGTATTTTGGAATTTGTGGATTAAGTTAGATGTTAGTTTTAATGGATATGCATGTTTAAATATAGTTTTAGTAATTATAAGCATGTTTAGATTTTATATCTAAAATAAAGCTTCTAAAAATTTAAGTCATTCGACCTCTCTTCGAAAACTTAATTAAAATAGATTTGTTGGTTCAAGCACGGGAAAATGATATTTTCATACTCGTAAAATTTGCAAAGTGTGATTTCATACTTAAACAAACATGTAGGGTTAATTCTAACCCAAACCGTAAAATTTTTTGAATTTCATATCCAAACTTGGCATTTAGTGTTTTTTTGGAGTCATAATTAGCCTGTGTTAGTCAATCGTCACGGTTGCTAAGTCAATTGACACGTGTTTGATAGTGTGGTTTAAAACGATGTCGTTATGTTTGTTAGAATTAATATTATAATTTTTTTTTTGCAAAAATCGGATCTGGAACCCCCAAATCTCACTGGTTGTGGGTTATGAGTTGTGTAAACGAGTGAGATGTCGGGTTGACTAACACTGGTTAATTACGATTCCGAAGAAAACACTAAATCCAAAGTTTGGGTATGAAATTCAAAATTTTTTTACGGTTTAAGTTAAAATTAACTCTACGTGTTTGTTCATATATGAAAACACACTTTATAAATTGTACGGATATGAAAATACTTTTTTCCCGTCAAAGCACCAAATAAAAACTAGTCAATAGGTAAGTCCATAAAACAAAACTTCGTCATCCAATTATTAACCCAAGTCTTAATTAATAAAATTGCAATAGTTGATAAAGTATTTAAAAAATAATTTAGTACATAATTGAGTATAACTTACTGCAAAGTTTATTGAAACATGCAAGTACTCGGTAAGACAATGACAAAAAACAAAAACCTCTCTCGACGAATAAGTTCGCCCTAGCAGCCGCCGTCAGTCTTTGCCTCCCGTTTTGACCTCTCCGGCTTCCGGTGCTCCTCGCCGGTGTCGTGAGAGGGTCCGTATGTTGCTCGTCATGCTTTTTCTCTTTAGTTTCAGATCTTTCTCGACAGATCCCTGACGGATCTAGATGCGTTTGTCTCCGAGCGGCGTTAAGTGGTGGTCTCCTCCGTTTATGGCTTGATCTCCTCTGAGCGTCGTCGTCTCTTGGTTTGTTGTGGAGATCCGCGAATTCTTTTGGTTTCGTTCTTTTCAGCCTCGAATCTGGACCATGTCTTTGTATTCATCGTTGATGCTTGGCGGATCTGTTGCTTCCCCTTCGACTGCGACGAGTTTGCTTCATCACCGGTAACATTACGTCATTTTGGGTTTCGTCTGTGGTTTTGTGGTGTTTGGATCCTTGTTTTTCGTTAGGTTGGTACAAAGTTGGAGTCTCTGCTTTATTTCCAGTCTTTTGTGGTCTAGCTTCCTTTCTATCGCCTATTATCTGCCTTGTGGAGATCGCTTGTGTTTCGATCCGGTTCGTTCTCTTGCCGTTTTCAGTCTTCGATGTGGAGCGGATTGTTTGGGCTCGGTCCTTGTCTCTACGTTTTATAGATCTGATCGAGATCTCTTCATTGCATTGGTATCTTCTTAGGCGTTGACAAATCGTGGTTTCTTCGTATTCTTCGATTTAGCCGCTTCCAGGAGTTGTGGTTGGTTCTAGTTGTTCCGTCCTAGTTCCCTTCTTGCTGGTATGGATGCCTTGGTTCTCTTTGTGAGGTAGTCTTCATTTGTTAAAGGAAGAGTCGCTCTCCGTTGCCATGGTTTTTCTTGTCCGTTTTGGTTAGCCACTTTGTCAAGATGTTCTCTCATGTGGTTTGATGGTAGGCGATTTGTTTGGTGTTAGGTTCTGGTTTTATTGCTTGTGTTTCTCTTGTCTTAGTTTCGAACCTTTCCTTTGTGTTGCTCTCTTTGTATTTCATTAGTTTCCTTTTTTTGGGCTTTAGCTTCCGAGGATTTCTTGTTATCCGTCGGCTTAGTTCTCAGTATCGTCTAGTGCTTAAGTTTCGGGATCATTTCTTGGATCGCCGTTGTTGTATCTTGTATCTTTTATCATAAAATATAATCTATCACTTAGACGAAAAAAAAAAAAAAAAACATGCAAGTACTTTTTATTAAAAAAATTTTACGTTTTCTATACGATATATATATATACATTGTTGATGTTATTGTGTTACATGATGTGTAGTGATTTTGGTTGTTTTAAAGCCTCTTTTCTCTTAGTTTTCATTGCTTTGCATTCATATTTTGGCATATAGTGTTGCATTTGCATTTGCATTTGGTTTTCTTAGGTACATGAATGGAGCTTGGAGTTTTGGGAATAAATAGAGCAAAAAGGAAGCTAAAAGAAGGCAACTTGAGTAATGAAGATCAAAGAGGGATGAAGAGGTGAAAGGAGATGTCAAGATGTGGTGAAAAAAGATGATTGAAGAAGAGAAGAGGAAGCAATAGACCACCTGGTCGATTCCCTGGTCGATTGACATGGATCAGAGCTACGGACAAGACACCAATCGATCAAGCAATCGACCGATTGCCTCAGGACAAACCAATCGACCAACTAGCCGATTCCCTGGTCGATTGACATAGACCAAAGCTACGGACAACATTTCAATCGATCACTTGATCGATCGATTGCTCTACCCAATAGACCAAGTGGTCGATTGAGTGGTCGATTGGGTGCCTAAACCGGGTCAAAACCCGGTTTGTTCCGGGTTGACCCGGTTCGTTTTTCCCTTTTCTATATATACTTTTAACCTAGTTTTAGATTGTCTTATGCTTTGTTTAGAGATAAAAAACTTCTCTTAAGGTTTCTATCTAAGTTTTTGTATGAATCTTTGGTTCTTAAGCTTAAATATCAAGTACTTCTTTTAAATTCTCTTATCTACCTTCTCTAATTATGATTTCACAAAGATCAAACTTATTGCTTTGTGTAATCATGATCATGAGTGAGTAGTCATTTAGAGTTCTTGGGTTAAGGTAGATTAGGATGGTTTAGTTGTTAGGTTATGGAGTTTAGGGCTAGATTACTTAAGATCCTTACTTATTGGTTGTTTATAACGCTAGATTAGCCTTGATCATGTTGATTTAGACTTTAGGGATTTCATGCCCGGAAGGTGTTCGATGAAATTCCCGAACCAAAACCTTTAAGTGCTTTACATTCCTTACCTTTGGAAATTGTTGACTAGGATGTTAAGTGGCTAGATAGACTTGTTTATAATGCTTGTTAGTCAATTGATTGCCTTTGGAAGAAGTTGATGATTAATTGATTAGTAAATGGACTAATGTCATGGAAATGTGTTAGTGTTGCTTAGTGTTCTATGGCCTAGGGATCATTGCTTATTAGAAGTTGTTTGAAGCTCCATAATCCACTTCTTAATCATTCCTAATCAATTCCCTTTAACCCAAGAATTCGCCTTTAGTTATCGTTTAGTAACTCGTTAATTTTCCGCTTTGTTTACTTTCGAAACTTATTAGTCTTTTGCATTTTGCTTTCATTTGTTTTGTTTTGCATTGTTATTTACTTTGTTAGTCATGTTTACAAAACCAAATCATTTTATTAGCCTAGATTAAGCTTTTGCATATATTCCTAGTGAATTGATCAATTGCAAATTGTGGTTCGATATTTAATTGAGTAAAAGTACTACATCATTACACAACATATGTATGGAGCTAAGCTAACTCAACTAATTGCAAATCTTTTATTAAAAAAAAAAATCAACTAAATGCATATTATATATACGTAACTTTTTTTCTGGTGTGTCGACAAAGGAATTCTGAATAAATAAGGCTTTCGATTTTTGCCATTTCACGTAAAACACGTGATACTGGCATACTGCAGAGTTTCAAACTGGTTGCAAATATTATTGCCAAATATAAATAAAAAGAACAAAAAAAAACTATAACTTAAATTAAGTTTTGTTGTCAAAGTCTACTTACCAATCAATTACCTCACTGAGTTGTCCCCTTTTCAATCTTTTCGATTGTTTTATGGAAACACCATGCTTTTTAAAAGATTAATTTTCACGTATTTACAAAATAAATGTTCACATTAGCCTAAATCTAATAACCAGATTAGGTCGGTCCCAAATTTTTTTTTGTTAAATCTTTTTTTAGACAGAGAGTGAGAGAGAACACCTTTAATACACTTATTTTCGTATATTGTTAATAAACAAAACAAACTTATGACAGATAAGATTAATCTTCGTGTTATTATTTTCCAAATTCAAACTTATAAGTAATAATGTATATAATGACGTGGCAGAGATAAAAAGCATGGATAAATGTCTCTTAAATGCACGTAGCAGCTGCAGCAACCGGAGGAGGACCCCACCTAGTGTTAAATTCTCCTGCCGGAGCGTGGTCCCCACGCGACCACCGGAGTGTGAAGCGCGTGAGCTCCACAGCGTCGGGACAAAACTAATGTCCTCTCGAAAAAGCAAAAAAAAAGAAAAAAAAAAAACCAGAGATGGTGAGCTGTGTAAAAAGGACCCCACCACACCCATGTGCTTCTCCTTCCTGTCTCCACCAGCTCCCTCCTTCTCAATCATTAGCTTCTCCTTCTCTTAGAGTAATAATAAGCCAAGTGAGAAAGAAACGCAAAACCCAGATCGAAAACCATGTCTATTAACAATAACAACAACAACGACGGAGTTATGATCTCATCAAACGGAGCTTTAATCGAACAACCATCATCAGTCGTTGTGAAGAAACCTCCGGCGAAAGATCGACATAGCAAAGTCGATGGAAGAGGAAGAAGAATCCGTATGCCTATTATTTGTGCTGCTCGTGTTTTTCAGCTAACGAGAGAGCTTGGTCACAAATCAGATGGTCAAACGATTGAATGGTTACTTCGTCAAGCAGAGCCTTCGATTATAGCTGCAACAGGGACTGGTACAACTCCGGCGAGTTTCTCAACTGCTTCTGTCTCAATCCGTGGCACCAGTTCAACTTCTTTATCATCTTCTTTAGATCATAAACCCACTTCTTTACTTGGTGGTTCGTCACCGTTTATACTTGGGAAACGTGTGAGAGCTGATGAGGATAATAATAATCATAATTCTGGTGGTAAAGATGAGACCTTTACGACAACACCAGCTGGGTTTTGGGCTGTTCCGGCGAGGCCGGATTTTGGACAAGTTTGGAGTTTTACAGGAGCTCCACAAGAGATGTTTTTACAACAGCATCATCAACAACCATTGTTTGTTCATCAGCAACAACAACAACAAGCTGCAATGGGTGAAGCTTCTGCTGCTAGAGTTGGGAACTATCTTCCGGGTCATCTTAATTTGCTTGCTTCTTTATCCGGTGGATCTCCCGGGTCGGGTCGAAGAGAGGAAGATCCACGTTAAAGTAAGCCCTTTTAGGTTTGAGGGCAAATTTGGTATATATATTTATTATCTTCTCTTCTCTATTGTTGTCATTGTTTCTCTCTCTGTGTGTGTTTTAGTGTTGTTAGAGATTGATTTGGTTTCAAAATCTCTGCAAGTGATTTGAGAGTTTCGTTAGCTTGAAGTAAGTTAAGAACGGTTGTTTTTGATTAGGGTTAAATTAGGGTTTAAGAATCTGGATTTTGTTTTTTTGGAGGGAGATTCGATTTCTTATCGGATCCAAGATTACTTTTAGGAAAAAGGGAAAAATTCAGAAACCGCGGAGGTTTCTTTTTCACCTTTTTTTTGTGTCTGGTTTTTTTTTTTTCCCGGCGAAAGAGAGCCGTCGATTAAAATTTCAGATACACTATCAAATATTTTTATATGGTTTGTTGTTGCTAATTTGTGTAATGTGTTACAACAATTGTGGTGAAGCATTTGCGTAAGCTGTTAACCACGTTTGTTTTTAATAAATGTTTCGACTTAATATTGTTCCTTCTTTCTCTACATTTATTGATTACACAAAGAAGCTTTTTGTGAGTGTGATTGTTTCGTTGAAATCGATCTAGATGACGAATTTTGAACACAGGAGTAATATAATCCTTTTTTAACTGGATATATGTATTGTGGATTTTTAAGAGGCTATTTTTTGGGGGTTCGTGTCTTGATTTTAATGCAAGAACAGAGGATTAAGTAAAAAAAAGAGACAAACCAGTTGTGTCTGAATTCTTCAATTTTGTTGCCTTTTTGTTTCATATGAATCTTTGTACTGTGCCTTTTGGAAGTTTGGTTTGTCACGTTAGTCAGATGAAGACTAAATTATACTATTGTTTTACTGTTAACACCATATGGCGACATGATATCTTTAAAATTTATATTAATTGTCGATATTATTTGAAAGAAGAAATGAGTTAGAATGTCTCTTGTTTGAGATTAGCTATTTAAAAATGTGTGGGATACACTCGGACATGAGTTCAAATACTTGTTTTAATTTTGGGAAAAATATAAATACACTCTTGGTGAATGGACAGAGACAAGAAAATAATTTGGACTACCAATTAGCATAGAAAATGATTTCAGTTGTGGTTTCATATTCTCGAATCTCGATCCTAGGATTCCTAGCTCTATCTGCTGAGTAATGTATTTAACCAATAATTTCTTTATCAAAATATTATTTGATGAATAAATGTCAAAAGTGATTAGATAGGTTTCTTAGACTATTTAGTTCACACTAATCAATCAAAAGAATCAAACAAATATTGCCATTAAAATAAGAGTCCATTAATGGAAAGATCTTAACAAAAAGTTGGTGTTTTTTCTTTCTTAATTAGGTCCTACTAGTAATTAAACACTTAGCTATATAATGTAATGCAAATAATTATAGGTGGGGGATCTTAGTAATCAACTCGTATCAATAAAACATCCGTACTTTTTATTGTCGAATCATCTAAATGACCCCAACACCAATAATTGATATGGTCCCAATTATTTTCTACTGGCAAATAATTTCTATAGGCTGGCAAATAATTCATATACGAGTATTAATTTTTCATATACATATTTCGCAATTTGGACCGACACATGTAAGCAGTAAATAGCCTCTCATTCACCTCACTCTACTAGCTCTGTGCCGTGTTAAATGTACTGTCAAATACTTTTTTTTTTGACAGCACTTTTCTTTTACTCTTATATTTCAGAAAAAAAATTGATGACTAAACATTATTATGGAGTGTCACAATGTTATATCCAAATCTGACTGTAAAAACGGTTATATAGCAAGAAAAATTTATAAATTCGTAGTTGTTGAAATTTCAACGTTAAAGCATGTTCATTTTTTCGTAGTTGCAGATTTTACTATGATCAATTTTGGGATCTATATAAGTATATCACAACCAAAAAAAAAATTATGATTTATGAAATTTGAACAAAAAATGCTGTTGGTAAATTCATTGATTGATCAAAATTAGATATTAATTTTCTGGTGTGTCAAAAGAAAATATATTATTTGTCTTAGAAATTATGATTCTATTTATATCATAATATTAAAGTTTTATTAGTTAAAATATATATTAAAACTTTTATTTGAATTAAAATGGATATTAAATCTTTTATCTGAATCAAAATATAACATACACTATTTTCTTTAATCATCAATTAAGGCCTCGAAAATATTAGAAACAGCTCAAATGGGCCAATATGGGCCAACATGGGCTTTGAACTTCCACTTAACGGACCACAGACACTTCGTCTCCAAGCTTTCGACCAAAGAGATTTGAGCAATTCGCAGACTCGAGGACGCGACTGTGAGAGAGAGAGAGAGAGAGAGAGAGAGAGAGAGAGAGAGAAAATGGCGTCGTCATCGTCGAGAGGAGAGATGGAGAAGATGGGAATCGATCAGCTGAAAGCGTTGAAGGAGCAAGCGGATCTGGAAGTGAATCTCCTTCAAGATAGTCTTAACAACATCCGTACAGCCACCGTCCGTCTTGATGCCGCCGCCGCAGCTCTCAACGATCTCTCTCTTCGACCTCAAGGTTTTGTTTATTTCACCTCTCCTTCTTCAAATTGGTCTTTTCAACGATGGATGATGATTTGAGACAATTGAAAATTGTAGGTAAGAAGATGCTTGTACCACTGACTGCTTCTCTATACGTGCCTGGGACACTTGATGAAGCTGATAAGGTTTTAGTTGATATTGGTACTGGTTACTTCATCGAGGTAATGAGAATTGGATTATGTATGTACTTTGTTCAATTAGGCTCGTTCTTGTGTAGCTCAAGTGTGTTGTTTGTAGAAAACAATGGATGATGGAAAAGATTATTGTCAGAGGAAGATTCACTTGCTCAAATCCAACTTTGACCAACTTTTTGAGGTAATATAACTCTCTCTTAGCAACTTTCAAATGCCTGATTTGTTTTTTTGGTTAGATTCTGAGAGGGGAGAAAAAAAGAATAAAGCCTACACTTTTCCTTCATATGCTTATTGAGTGTGCCTTAGAACTGTCTTTTTACAGAAGAATGACACAGTTCTCATATCATTTACGAAAATTGTGAAATGAGTAAATTGTTAGGGGTGAATCTTTTTGGAGTTCTTTTTGTGACTTGATCCATTGTAGAAAATTGTTTGAGGGCTTAAAGTTTTATGGCTGCTGTGGAATGCAATTGACATAGTCAGAAAGCCCTTTGGTTGTTCCTTTCTAGCACATTGTTAAAACACTCCCTAGAGCGAAACATGATACACTAAGTAGAGTTTCCACTTCACTCCGCATTTAAATCGCTGTTCCAGTATTTGGTAGTTTAGTGCTGAGTATTGTTTTCGTATAAAGCAGAATCCAATGCTATGATCTCTCCTTTCCATTTGCTTCAATAATTGTTGAAATCAACCATGCATCAGTGCCAAATTGTTTCAATACTCTTTTATTTTGAAAATCTATATTTACTGCTTATAGCTTACCCGCGATTTTAGTTATAAACTTCAAGAATGTTCATTCAATGCAGGTCGCAGCGAAAAAGAAAAGCGTGGCAGATGAAGCTGGGATGGTCTTGCAGGCCAAAGTTAAACAGTTAACAGCTGCAACCACGTCGTGAAAATTCTTCCTTCTCTGGTGCTTTTCGTTATTGAAAGAATTATGAGATTGCAAAAGATTTTGTCTGATCAGTTATGTTATGAGTCTTTTGATTGTTTAGTGTGCTAGAAGAATTTGTGCTGTAATTTTAAGTAATCAGTAGTGACTATGAGAAAGATTAAAAGTGTTACTAGTTATTTCTCATAAAACGTGAGAAAAGAGACAAAAGCCATGATGTTATTGTTGGGGGTACAAGGAAACAACTGAATCAATGAAACTAAATACAACTTTGTATTGTTGTTTTAAGAAAAGGAATCTCTCCTCTGCGTATTGCTGTTTGAGTTTTATCATCTGTGATCCGCACCAATTGCTTCATGGATTGACTTGAAGCCATCCCTTTCTAAGCATTTCACCAGTTCCTCCTATTGCAACAACAAGACATGAATATTAGTATCAATCTGACCTCAAAATGCAGAATATGATTTTGATACCAAATGCTTCAAGAATTTGGTCTGATATGAGTTTTAACTTTGTGAAGGTAGTTTTTAGATTTTCTGTATGCTTATTAAACTTTCCAGATTGAAAAAAAGACTGCTCTTTATGGGGAAGGAGATACCTTTATTTGTGGGATAAGGGCGGGTCCTCCATATGCAAATCCCGTGTACAGCTGAACAAGAGTAGCTCCAGCTCTTATTTTCTTGTAAGCATCCTCACCACTGAAAACACAAAGATTCATCATAAATCAGTTTTTTTTGTGTTTCTTTTGTTATCACAACTAAAGCATCTATGGTATGTTCAACGTTTACCTACTAACCCCGCCACAGCCTATCAATGGAATCTTTCCCTAAGGAAGAGATCATTAAAATATCCAAAAACGCATCAGATATGTTTTTAGTTCATTGGTCGATTAGTGGATCATCTTTCTTTAGAATAAGAACTTACTCGTGTCAAAGTGTACATATCTCTCAACATGTTGGTGGAGAGAGGAAAGAGCGGTGTCCCGCTCAAACCACCTGCTTCTGTTGCCACGGGGTTGTTGCTTACAGGATCTGGCCTTGAGACTGTTGTATTTGATATGATCTATAGAACAAACAAAGACAGTATCATCATCATCGAAAGGTTTATGATTTGCAACATACCATACTTACTATCTGAAAAAAAGACTTTTCTATCATTTTGATTGCTTTTACTACACTACTTTAAACAGATTGGATGCTACATTGATTGACACTGATGAAACATAAGTTAGTTCATAAGAAGATAACTTACCAGCCCATCCAAGTGCAGAGCAAGAGCCACCTACAGAAACCAATACAATGTTGTAAGAGCCAATTACTTGAAAACTATAGAATGTGTTTTAGTTTTTAATACTACTCACCGCTGCAATATCTTCAAGCTCTCCTCTGGACAGATCAGGAGCAATCTTCACAAGAAGAGGAGGAGGACCTTCATCACCCCATTGCATCTCATCCCGAGCAGCTTGAACCTTCTTTACAAGGTCCTTCAACTGTTTCCTTCCCTGAAGCATGCGCAGCCCTGCAGTATTGGGTGATGAAACATTGATCACCTGCAGAGAAAAATGAAAATTAGGAACAAAGAATTCTACGGTAGATTACATTAAATTAATGCTCGATATATCACGGTAAGAAGTTTGTACCAAGTAATCAGCATACTGGGATAAGTTATGAACTCCTTGGACATAATCAGCAGCAGCATCCTCACTCGTCTTGTTCTTTCCAAGGTTGACCCCAAGAATACCAGGTCCAGATTTTCCCCCTGGTTTTACATCATCGCTTGGAGATGACGAAGTACCTGATGTTTCCGCCAACATTCTTTTACCATGTTGAGCACCCAACCGCTTTGCAACGACAACAATCCCTTCGCTATTAAATCCACACCTATTGATAATAGCTCTGGGAGAACGAAAATATA